AGGGAAAGAAAAGTCCCAACAGTAGCTAATTCTAAAATTAGGACAACTTTCTGAATCTCTAAATGCTACATACTTGAGATATATAATAAGGTGATACATACTACTGTAGGCTGAATGTCTGTAACTCCCCAGATTCATATGTTGAAACCTAATCCTCAATTTGTTGGTATTTGTTAGTGGGGCCTTTGGGAGGTGATTAGGTCATGGCGGCGGAGCTTTCACGAATGGGATTAGTGCCCTTATAAAAGAGACCTTGGAGAGCCCCCTTGCCGCTCTGCCACGTGAGGACACAGTGAGAAGATGGCAGTCTACAAAACCAGGAAATGGGCTCTCACCAGACATCAAATTTGCTAGCGCTTTGATCTTGGACTTGCTATCCTCCAGAACTAGAAATAAATAGAATAGAAATAAATTTCTATTGTTTTTATAAGCCACCCAGGCTATGGTATTTTGTTACAGCAGCCCAAACGTACTAAGACATGCACCAAGAACTATGGCTTGTTAAAGTGAAGAAGGTTCAAATACAGTGTAGTTAAAATGGTGAAGTTATTTTTATTTCGGTACTTGACAAAATATCCCATAAAATTCAAAACTTCTACCATTATACAAAAATAAGTCTCTACAAGTGATATTATCTGTCTTCATCACCAGTAGCAAATATATTAGGCAGAAACATATAACTTCAGTAGCCTTATAAGAAAAGTGCAGGACACCTCAAGCTACACATTCAACAGTAACATAATGCCAAAAGTTTAATCTTTTCACCCATTTGATAAATACACAAGGTTTATAATTTAATCATTTAAATTAGCATTCCACAAATATACATGTAATTTAATGATTATTGTGCATGAATACATACACAATGCTTATATGTACAAATTCCAGTTTGTTTTCATGTGCTGGCAAGGGATTTGTATACAATCATAAGCTGTGTTCAGACTGGTCCCACTGAAAATCCACAATACAAAAGCACAAAAGAACCACTGATTTACAAAAGGGAATTTGTTTAAAATCACTTTGATTCATGATGTTTCAAAGGATTATCTTCTCATGCCAGCATGAAACTGAGTTGAACCTATAAGACAGGAAGAGGATAATTCAATGATTTCAAATTAGATTGTGACATATCAGACTAGTTCATGATGGGCAGAAGATTATTACCCATCATTTTTTAAAAATTGCTTTGTTTTCCTCTAAAAAAGTCTTATTCAGACCTGAACTGATTTTTTAAAGGGATTTTTAATATATATTTAAAAGCCATTGTGGTTGGCTCCATAGCATGCTAAGTGAGATTAATGTTAAGATTCTCTGTAAAGTGCCCTGCAGGTTCAATGTTCTATACCTCTTGAAATATCTTTTGGTCTTCAAAATCTGGGTCTTGTGAAATTTAGATGCTCAAACCAACAAAGCCCAGCTATGATAATAAAAGTTTTCTACAACTACAAGTTTCTTGGGTTAGGTGATTTCTTGTATGAAGAGATAAACTACTAACTTAAATAACTGGTTATTAGTCCTATCTATTTTGTGGGAATAGTAGGAGAAAAGGGTCTCTAGTAATAGTAACATATATATATATCTATATATATACATATATATAGAGAGAGAGAGAGAGGGGGAGAGAGAGAGAGAGAGAGGGAGAGAGAGAGACTTAAAGCTCATTAAATTAAAATGATTCAAAATCTTTGAATCAGGAGTGAACTGGAGAGATGGGAAAAGAGGTTTTTCTCACAATAAACAAGGAAGGGAATACACTTCTACTAATAATGAAATTTTTCTGCGTGTGTTTTTGAGCAGAGAAAAATAAAACGTCATTCTTACAGTCTTTTGAATGGGATGGGCTCCTTGGATCATACGTAAGAGTACAAGGTCCTAGTAGAGATAATGGATGCAGTAAGTGCTTAAAGTACTGGCGTCCTCCTCTCATCTCGCTATCCCTTATTTGCATGCCTCACGATGTATTACTTAGGGATAAGTTCTCTAGCAGACTGTGTAAGCTTCAGAGTACTTTGCACATTGGTGCTCGTCATGCATTCCCCCTAATCAATCTTTTCAGTGAGATGAGCAGGAATTTTGGGGGGCTGAGAATGGGATCCAGGGTGATAAATCATGTTTTGTCTTAAATTCCTAAAGTCTAGCCTGGTAACTCAGGCACGGAACTGTAAGATTTGATTATCCTAATGAGGAAGGTCAAGGAATTTCAGAAAGAGAAAGCGTTCCGGGTCTATCAAGCACTACGGTGCTGCCAATACTTGGTTAACCTGAGGGTACCTGACTGTACAGTTCCAAGTCTTCTCTGCAGTGCCTCTAGCCGAGTGATATAATCTGTCAGGGCTCTGTCAGGATCATAATTCTGAAGCTGAGAACATGCTAAGGAACCAGGATTTAAATCAGCTGGAGGACCTGGGTACCTATGAGATTAAAAATACAAACATGAATCCCAATTATCCAGAAACAATACAAGTAACTCAGCCTACCACCACCCTGCCCTCAAAAGGTAGACCACTTGTACACTGCTCAATCTATATACCCCATACTACTGAGTCTGAATCATGTGGAAAGGAAAAAACTCTTCGATAAATTCAAAGCAGCTACTAAGTCATCAAAAGAATGTCCATCCAGTACACTGCCTGTTGCAGAGGCCATCAATAAAGGCTGCATATGTATAAATGCATCTTGTCCTGCAAACTTTAGAGGTGTTTTCATAATTCCAGACTCTCAATTTTAGTTAATACCTTTATCAATGTCTAGCCACAGCATACATACTAAATAACACTTGATCAGCTCTGTTTCCTATACCCTTAGAAACCAGTTACAAATTCAAAAACTGTTTTTGATTCTGAGCTTTAGATTATGTAACTAATACATAACTAAAGACACATTTAGTTATTTCAATGCAAAGAAGTCAAAGCCCTAACACTGTCCTTCATTCTCTGTTAAGTATTAGTATAGATTTCATCAAATTCTTACCTATTTTGAAATGGTAAAGGAGACCTTGGATAGTCCAGATCTGATCTTGAGCGATATGTACTATGTCTTGGTTCTCCATATAGCTCCAGCCCACCAGAAGAATGATAAAATGGGTCAGTCTTTTCGGCACCTAAAGTAATCCAAAATGTACCTTGTAAAGAAAAAAAAATACCAAGCCCTTGAAAAATTTCTACAAAATGGATAAGGGTTCAAAAGACTTACTATACTGTACTACACTACTATCTCCTATGTATTAGTCACTTTCAATTATTCTTGCTACAGGAGAGAAACAATAGTACAGCTTGTTTCATTTACCTTTGGATATTAGTATTTCTGGTAATCTGGAACTACACCTCTAAGAAAATAAACTATTTTATTTTTTAAAGACCGCTTCTTAGTTTTAACTAGAGGTGAAGTGAGGGGTGTCTGTGTGTGGTTTGACAGAAAAGGCAATGTGGATAAAAAATATTAGAAGAATACAGCCAAGTCTTTTTATCACTCTAATATACTGGCTTTTACTGGAAAAAACTTGAAACCAAGATATGCTAATTTACAACACAGAATTCATTATGGTACAAATTTCAGCTGTTTCAGTATAAGGATGCGTATTTCAAAAACATTTTGCTTAGAGTACCACATGTATTTTCCTCTTTCTCTGTGTAAAACATGTAGAAGTGGTTTACTACCAATACATACAGATATGCTGTGTGTCTATAATTCTGTGTGCTCCCCAGCTTTTGACCTCATCCTTTTGCCTGAAATGCTGAAGCCCTAATGTTTCAGTGTAGAGAGAAGGAATTTTAACTGTTATATCACCTACTGGTAAACAGAAACCTGTTTGAATATTGCTAAACTGTGAAAATTTCAAATCAAAACTTTCATATACTAGAGTAACAGCAATCCTATCTTGAACCAGAGCCTTAAATGCAGTTGTGAAAAGAGTGGGCTCTGGAGCCAGACTGTCAGGGTTTGATGCTGACTCTACCACTTCCTACTGGGTAATTTGGGACAAATGACAAATGCTTTCCATGCCTCAGTTTTTTGTCTGTAAAGTAAAAAGAATAGTAACTGTACTTACATCATAGGATTATGAGAATACACGGAAAAAAGCAGGGCCTAGTGTGAACTAAGTGCTCCATAAATATCAGCTCTTATTACTCTTTAGAACAGCAAGGTCCCCAGCTTTGTTAGTTATAAGGGCTTTATCTTTGGACAACACAGGTCCCAGAACACATAATTTGGAAGGTATTACACATGCAGTAATTTTAGAGCATCATCAACATAAGAAAAAATTCTATTTTGACTTCACCTGGATTCAATCCAAAGCCATCCCTGTTAATATTGATGGAACCAGAACTTGTGACTCGATGCCACCGTCGAACCAAAAATTTCATTCTAAAAAAGATCCCAAGAAAAAATTTCACAGAACATCTATAGTGTAAAGAGTATAAACATACACTTACAACAAAAATCAAGTCATACGTTTAAATATGAATGCAGAACAAATTTCTATATAATCACATGACTGCCTGATCTAAGATTATGCAAATGTCCCCTGGTTTGTGGCAAAATTGACTGGAACAGAAGAACAGGACTTCCCATGAGGCACCAGAGGTCTCTTCTTTTGCCAGTACCAGGTTCTGGCTTTAGAGGTACATGGGACATAAAGAGATGAAGAGCAGGGCTTCCCTGGTGGCGCAGTGGTTGAGGGTCCGCCTGCTGATGCAGGGGACATAGGTTCGTGCCCCGGTCCGGGAAGATCCCATATGCCACGGAGCGGCTGGGCCCGTGAGCCATGGCTGCTAAGCCTGCGCGTCCGGAGCCTGTGCTCCGCAACGGGAGAGGCCACAGCAGTTAAGAGGCCCGCGTACTGCCAAAAAATAAAATAAAATAACAGATGAAGAGCAAAAGCAGAAAAGGTTAATTGGATGGGCAAAGAATGGGTGAGAAGAAATGAAAAGAAGGAGGAAGAATGGAGATTAAAGGGCAGATGAGATGGAAAGAGAACAGAAAGAGCCTTAAATTGGCAGTAAGAGAGAGCAGGGAAAACTGGAAAAGGAGTGAGGCCATGTAATCAGGAATGAAAAACAGTGATGGCTTCAAAAGGAACAGGGGAGGCTGTGTCACAGCCCAGCTGTAGCGAGCTGCTGCCTGCCCCGTCATAGCCCAAAGAGCTTTCTGGAGCACCAGGTTTGACTTCTTAATTCCAACTATTTTCAAGGCTCAGTTTTAGGAGGGTCAAAATACAATAAACATATAAGAGGTCAAGAAAAAGAGGGTGAAAAAGTGAAGTCCTTCAATTGCAACTGGCTTTCATGGAGCCTTCCCGAATTCTTGAAATCAAAATTAATAGCTAACTCCTGTGATCTGTCATTTAGTGTCTCCTAAGTTATGTGCATACTGGTATGCCCCACTAGAAAGTGAGCTGCCTTCAGGGATTTAGGCAGGGATTACGTCTTTTTTCTTTATCAATGCATCTCCCAGCACTTAACCCTGTACAAGCTGTATAAGGTGATGAAGGGAATGAAAGATGACAAAGGAAAAGGAAAAGATGAGGAAGGAAAGCTCTTTGCTTTCTCCAACCTTCTAATTCTTGTGCTACTGCCAAGAAAAGACAGAACCAAAAAGGACGCCATTTGGCAAGGAGTCTGGGAGACACAATCCGCAGGCTGTAAGCCCCTGGCAGTATGGAGGCTGGCCTAGAAGGGCAGTGAGGAGCTGAAAGCCAGCAGATGCTACCCAGAACACAAAAACATAAATCACACCTCTTATTCTGCCTTCGTGGTCTTTTGAGGTACTTGTAAAAAACCTGAATACAACGGAATTGGGTAATACTTAAAAAAAAAATTTCCTTTGAGACTGTCTGGCTCCTACAGAAGTAAAAGGGAAAAGCATGGAGAAGGTATCTAGGGGTCTGGGTATAACCAGCCAGCACCAGAGTTCCTAGCTTGGAACTACCAGAGAAGGAGTGACAAAAGCAACAGCACAGTCCAATGCAGAGTCAGGCCAGGGCTTCCTGTAGCTGGGCTGTGAGAGTGGGTTATTTTAGTAATGAAGAAAATGAATGTATGTCAGCCTAAGTAACTTTTCAAAAAACATTTTTCTCTCTTATGATCTCTTTTATTTATATGTCTGAACTAGTTCATGGACTTATTCAGATTTAGAAAAAAAAGAAACTAAATAAATAAATTAATTAAAAAAAGAAAAGAGAGACACCTCAGATTGGATGTCCCAGCCGAGTCACTGGCTGCCTGCCTCTGGGAGGGTCCTTCTCATAGGCTCTCTATAGTATAACATAAAGTATTCCTGACTAAAGGATGAAAACCTAGAGAGAAGTAGGCATGTTTCAGTGATGGCAAATGTCTTATACTATATGAATAAGGAGCACAACGGGCAGAGAAAAGAGAGAGAACTAAAAATAACTAATCTCTTTAGAAAGTCTATTAAAATGCATTTTCTTTCAAGTATTTTACCTCGAAATTGCCATGGACACTCTGACAGCTGACCGAAACCTGGTGAAGCCCTTTGGACGGTTGGTGATCACCTCTAGATCCGTGAAGGCCGGATGTCCCCCCATTCGGGCAAGCAGAGCCAGGGTGGCATCCTCACATTCCTGGAACCCACCCAGTAACAGAAGCAGGTATTTCTTTTGATAAATGAGAGCTTTCCGAAAACTTTCTGCCCTCAGGTATTTGCCATAAATTCTCTACATTTAAAAAAAAGAAAAACATAAAGACATTATTAAGAAGTTATTCAAACTGTTCTCTAGGGGAAGATAACCTAGACTTTATTTTAAAAAAGTGGCAGTAGTAGAATGGCAGGTACCCTATCACTGTTTTCTACTTTATCAGCAAAGGTAAAAAGTAAAGTTAAACCTTTATACTTCTGCCTCCCTTTAGTGAATGGATTTTAGCTCCTATTAATCATATTCATTGCAAAAATTTTTGTCTTTGCATTATCACCTGAGTTTTTTTAATTGTATAGAGCTACTTTATTAGTATCATCACGGATCTATTTAACTTTTTCAATGTTAATGTTTTCTGTCCCTTTAAGAGTCATAAATTTATGTTCACTCCATAGCTGGAATAAATATTCCAAACATTTTCTTTCTTTCCTTGTTTCTTTTTGGATTTTATGTTAACTGATTAAGGTAGCTGTACTACAATATTCATCATTAGTCATTAGAGAGACTATTCAGAGGGCTTACCACTAACAGAGCATGATCCTCTAATATTGACAGTAGTAGAGAGCTTCTGTTGGGAGTTGAAAAGCTAACCTTCTGTTGGTCTTTTAGGGATGAGACTGTGGGAAGTGGGACCATGAGCTCAAGGTGCTGCCTCTGTGACCATTAATAGAACTTAATCTTGTCCCAAACCTGGGCATGCTTCACCACAATTTTTTTGTGACCAGCTAGAGATCTGCATTCAATGACAGACTGAGTACAGAGACCTAGAGACACAGCCTGAGTGCCACCTAAAATTCTTTAGTCTGACAATTAAGGTTAGTGATAGATGAAATAAGGCAAAAGCAGAGGACCAATTTTAGTATACATTTAGATGGAAGATGTCTCCTACCTTTACAGTGGCATGCTCAGAGTCAGGGCTCAGATTTTGAAGTAAAGCTTCATTTCTTAGTTCAGCTTTTAGTTTGTATACTTCAGCTTCTGCCCGTTTCAAGGATTTTTGGAGAGTCAACTTTTCTCTGTTCCAGACTTCTTTTTCTGAAGCAATGATGGCTTCAATGTTGGGGCCACCACTGAATGAAAACCTAGAAGACTGCAGAGGCCAGAGCCTACTTACATGATTTTAAAGAACAAGTTTCTGAAGAAGAATCTGAATTAAACATATTAAAGGTATCCCTATGAGGGTTATAGAATGCTCAGCTTTCCAACCTCAGACAGGGAAGTTCAAAGCCAATCTCAACTGACATTAAAGAATATCCACTAACTTTTAAGTTTATGACCTTGCTGAGCAGATTAACTTTACAACTAAAAATCCGTGTGAAAGACTGGCCCCAGAGAAGATGTTTGGATTAGTAGAGCTTTCAACTAAAAAAGTCTAGAGACTTTTTTTTTGGCCACGCTGCACTAAAGGTTATCAGGATGTTAGCTCCCTGACTAGGGGCTGAATCCAGGCCACGACAGTGAAAGTGCAGAGTCCTAACCCACTGACCACCAAGGAATTTCCCTTTTTTTGCTTGTTTTTTTTGTAGACTTTAAAAATGGACCATCTGGGTTCAAATGTTGAGCCTGTGCCTGAAAAAGTACACTGGAGAAGTGGGGAAATAAAACCCAACTTGACATAGGGAAGTGGGTTTCTACAGAAGCTGTATGGATGTGTTATCATGCATCTGACCACACAGTTGGTCTTACAGGTCCTTCCTATCTTTATATTGGATGGTAACAGAGCTAGCAATTTAGTATTTTGTAGTTTTTAAATGGAAAAAATTTAAATAAATTCCCAGAGTAGTTTATTAGACTGAAATATGTAATTTAATGGCATTTTCCACTTCAGTTATGAACACAATTACTGATAAATAACTGACAAGAACAGGCAGAATGCACATGTGAACATTTCTTCACATGTATCTGCAACTGGTCCATAGGTAGCAAAGTACTTGGCTTTGGAGAAAAGTATATCTTGGTTTGACTACTGACTTCAGTTTTCTGAAGTGCAAGGCAGGGTGTGGATAAGAGATTCTGAACATATATAACCCAGAATCTGGCAGAGAAGGCTCCCCATAAATAAATAATAGCTATTATTATTACTGTCATCCCTATAAAATTTTCCAGTGATCCTACTAAGAATCAGATGCTTAGTATGCTGCCATGATAAAAACAGACATACATAATCTCTGCCAGCTCCTGTCTGTCGGTAACACCTGATCTGCTCCTCCAGCTTCATAACCATGTTTCTTAAATCATTCTTTTCTTCAGTCAGTTGGCTGATATGTCCTGTCAGCTCAGTATTTTGTCTTAGTAGTCTTTCAGTTAATGAGCCACAAGAAGTACTTGGGGACCTTAAGGTAGGCTAAAAGACAAAATGGCAAAAGGTCACATAAGCACAAACTTTTACAAATAATGCATATAAAATGTGAAGTCACTGAGAACAACAGATTTCATGAAGAAATAGTGCTTGAGCTGTGTCTTAAATAATAAGCAGGACTCTACTAGGCAGGAAAGAAGGGCATATTAAGCAGAAGAGCACGTGTAAAGGCACAAAGGCTTGAGCGTGAGTGTGTTGCTTTTAGGGAGCTAAAACACACCTGTTAAGATTAAAGGTTGCTTTCATTTTATGGATAATAGATCTAAATGTAGGTAGTGAAGAGCCATGAAAGGCTTTAGGCTGTAGCATGCCATAAACAAAATTTACGTGTGAGAAAGATTCCTTTGATAGTACTGCACAAAGTAGAGTAAATTAGAGAAGAAAGATCCTGATGTCAGGCAGACACATCAGGAAGTTACTGCCAACAGTCCAGGTGAGAAATGCTGAAGGCCTGAATGCAGGCAATGACTAAAGGCACTTGGGAGGTAGAAGGCACAGGACTTAGTGACTGCTTGGATGTGCAAGTAAGAATGAAGGAAAGGGTCTAGGGTGACTTTCAACTCTCTAAACTGGGTGATATCATGACCAAAAATGTGTGTTTGGGACAGGAAGGAGAAAAGGAAGACGATGCTCAGTTTGGATTGTGCCTGTGAGATTCCTAAAGGGGTCACTATGGGGTATGTTTCCCCAAGGAAAGATGTCTCATAACTAAGTGAAAATATAAACCTGGACCACAGGACAAAGGTTTCAGAATAGAACCATAGTCCACAAGAAGATAAGCTCCATAAAGGTGAGATTTTTATCAGATTTGTTCACTATAGCCCCAGAACCCAGTATAGTACCTGGCACACAGGAGGTGCCTAATGTAAGTATTTGTTCAATAATTAAGTCTACTGAGAATTCAGGCTGTGGGAATGAATGAGCTGTCAGAGGAAAAAAATGGATGAGCATAAGAAGAACTCATGAAGGTGACTGATGAAAGAAATGAGAGAATATTAACACAAAAGGAAAGGAAAGAGAGGGTATTTAAAACGGAAGAGGTCAAAAGTGTCAGATGCTACAAAGAAGCCAAGAATGACAGGGACTGAAAAGATTCACCAGATTAGTCAATTGTCAACATACTGGTAGCATCCTGAGGGTGGTTTCATGGAGTGGTGAGGGTAAAAGACAAGACTATTCTTTCAAGAAACTTTTCATAATATAATAAGAATTATAATTATTCAATAATGATAATTTTGTTTCCCCTCAAACTTTCACTATCTTCTATGGGGGAAAGGCAAACATTATTATTTTAAATAAATGAAAAGATAAAATTAAAACTCTTTAGAAAATCCAGTGCCAGTTTCAAATGATTCATATAATTTCCATTAAATCTTTGCTCTCGATACTATACAAAGTGTTTTTAGAAAGTCTTACCTCTTCACCTGGCTGGCCAGTTAATTTTTGTAGTTGTAAAACAATTCCATCAATATTTTCCTGAACCCAAACAAAATCTTCATCATCTGCTGTTTCAAACTGTAGTCTTCAAAAAAAAAAAAAGGGGGGGGGCAAAAAGTCAAAACATATCATCTCAAGGAGCAGCGTTGACTAACACAAACATTACAGATCAGGCAACACTGCTTCACCTCTTACTTCTCCTTTACATTAAGTGTTCTC